ATATTTTCGATCAAAGTCGTGTTAAAAATTTTGGCAGTTCTATATTATAGACATTTTAAAAGTTCTTAAACTTTGATAGAAGATATCTTGGCAACCACCTGATCAATTCAATAAATTTTTTTTTATTCAAATTCTACAGATCTGTAGAATCCGAATAAAAGATTTCATAGAATTTGGTCGAGTGGTTGCTGCGATATCTTCGATCAAAGTTAAAATTTTGGTGCAGTTTCCATCTAATATACGTTTTAAAAAATTTAAAAATTTAATCGAAGATATCTCGGTACCTACTTGACCAAATTCTATGAAATTTTTTATTCAAATTCTACAGATCTGTAGAATTCGAATAAATAAATTTTCATTGAATTTGGTCAAGTGGGTGCTGAGATATCTTCGATCAAAGTTGTGTTAAAAATTTTGGTGCAGTCACCGTATAATAGGCGATTTAAAAAATTCTAAACCTTTGATCGAAAATATCTCGGCATCTACTTGACCAAATTTGATAAAAATTTTTTTTATCGAATTCTACAGATTAGTAGAATTTGAATAAAAAAAATTACATCGAATTTGCTTAGAGAATAGTCAAGATAACTTATGCAACGTGTAGATTATTTCCAAGTTTATACCAAACGCACCTCGCTCCCAAAAAAGAATGTGAAATGGGTTATTATACATCGTGGTTGTAAGCTAGTTAACCATGAAGTAGATAATGTATATCTAGTAAAGTGTGAAGAAATTTTATCAATAAGAGGGTCATAATCGTCGAAGTATGCCCCATGTGTGGAATCACTTATCGGATTGGCCCCTGAACCACGTTGTACAGATTAAATTTTTGGTATTACTGTACAGTACTGAGCAAAAATATCTTGACAACCATCTATCTAAAATCAATAAAAATTTTTCATTTTAATTATACAGATATATAGAATTGGAATAAAAAAATCTTCATTGATTTTAGATAGATGGTTGTCGAGATATCTTCGCTCAAAGTTTGGAAAAAATAACCACCTCGATTCATAAAAAAGGCCCACTTTTTTGATACTATCCCATATGATTTAACCCTTCTAACCCTAATAAAAAAAATGTGCCTTTTTCTATGAATCAAAAAGAATGAAATTGCATAGTTGTGGGCTTATTATGAGATTAAAAAAAAAAAAATCCATTATTTTTTAAATGCCATGGTATATCGAGAGATAATGAAGGGAATTATATACTTGTTTTGGATTATGTAGCTATGGTCCTCTACGCAAAAATCTTTCTAAAGTATCGCGATTATTATGGAAAGATAAACTAAGATTATTACATTTGATTTCTTCTGACCTTCAAGCAATTCATTCACGAGATTTTATTTATCGAGATTTACATAGTGGTAATGTTGCATTATATAATGCGTATATTGCGAATTTGGGTCTCTCGATTCAATTTCAAAAGCAAAAAGAAGGCAAAATTTATGGAGTCATGCCATATATCGCTCCAGAAGTCTTGTAAGGAAAACCGTTTACACAAGCAGCAGATGTCTACAGCTTAGGGGTTATCATGGCTGGAATAACGACTGGGCAAAGACCTTTTGATGGCGTGCCATTTAATACTGATCTTGTATTAAAGATTTGCAACAGATTGTGACCCGAATTCGCTTCAGGAACTCCCGAATGTTACATCGAATTGGCTAACCAATGTATGAATCCTGACCTTAATGAAAGACTTAAAGTTGAAAAAATCGAGTTGTTTTTTAGTATTTGGATTAATGAATTAAATATATTTAAAGAGAATGAAATCGAAAATCAATTTCTAAAAGCTGATAAAATAATAAATAATATTTCGATCATCAAGCAAAAACACCAGGATCGCATGTATACAAGCAAATCCATCGACACGCAAGAGATTGTTCAAGAGCTGTCTGAAATGGTATTCGGTAGCAAAAAGATAGACAGCATAGAAATTTCAGAATATGTAT